GGGGTTAAAACAGGTGCTCCTTCCTCCCTAGCCCGTGCCCGGTCTGGGGAGCCTGTGTGGAGGGAGGACTTGGGGGGTTCATGGTGTGGCGACCTCCCTTGTTCCTTTTGCAGCACGCGGGCAGTGAGGGGGAGCTGTTCCCCGCCCCACCGCCCATGGTGTCCTCGGGCAGCGCCTGCACCCTGGCCTCCAGCATGGCGGAGGCTGAGGAGTCTGGCTCCGGCGAGGAGGCTGAGTCGCCCCCGTTCTGCCTGGCCCCGGAGCCGCTGTCCATCACCGAAGAGATCCTGGAGCTGCTCAGCCAGAGGGGGCTGAGCAGGGATCTGGGCACAGCCGAGGCCTGCCCAGGCGTCTTCTCCCAGCCCCTAGGAGAGGCATGTCCTAAGCACAGGGAAGAGGCAGCGTGCCCTAGTGGATGGGGCACTGGGCTGGGAGCCAGGACTCCTGGGTTCCTGGAAGGGAGGAGGGTCTAGTGGGTAGAGCAGGAGGGGGGGGGTGGGAGCCAGTCTTTTATGTGCCTACCTGGAACACTGCCGAAAGCACCTGACTTAAGAGCAAAACCCCCATATTCAAAAGCAGCCAGGCAGCCGGGCCTTTCAGAGTCTGAGTCTACCCCCGTCCCTCAATGGGACTTGAGATCTGAAACTGCGTCAGGGCTTGTGAAAATTCTACCCCGGCTCTGCCGGCGCAGAACCATCAGCCATCAGCCCAGCGCGAGTTTTGCTGAGAAATCCTGAGGTCAAAGGGTTTTTCTGCTGCATGTTTTTCACCCTTTTCTGGGCAACCAGAAACTTCATTTTGGTCTATGAGTCGTGGCTGGGATTCCCCGGAAGCGCATGGTTCCGGGAGCCCCGTGATGATTAAGTTAAACCTCAATGATTGCGACAGCTGGCTGCAGAGCCCTTCTTTTCATAGAATCATAGAATAATAGGACTGGAAGGGACCTCGAGAGGTCATCGAGTCCAGCCCCCCGCCCTCAAGGCAGGATCAAGCTCTGTCTACACCATCCCTGACAGATGTCTATCTAACCTGTTCTTAAATATCTCCAGAGAGGGAGATTCCACCACCTCCCTTGGCAATTTATTCCAATATTTGACCACCCTGACAGTTAGGAATTTTTTCCTAATGTCCAATCTAAACCTCCCCTGCTGCACTTTAAGCCCATTACTCCTTGTCCTGTCCTCAGAAACCAAGAGGAACAAATTTTCTCCTTCCTCCTTGTGACACCCTTTTAGATATTTGAAAACCGCTATCATGTCCCCCCTTAATCTTCTTTTTTCCAAACTAAACAAGCCCAGTTCATGAAGCCTGGCTTCATAGGTCATGTTCTCTAGACCTTTAATCATTCTTGTTGCTCTTCTCTGTACCCTTTCCAATTTCTCCACATCTTTCTTGAAATGTGGTGCCCAGAACTGGACACAGTACTCCAGCTGAGGCCTAACTAGTGCAGAGTAGAGCGGCAGAATGACTTCACGAGTTTTGCTTACAACACACCTGTTGATACAACCTAGAATCATATTTGCTTTTTTTGCAACAGCATCACACTGTTGACTCATATTCAACTTGTGGTCCACTATGACCCCTAGATCCCTTTCCGCTATGCTCCTTCTTAGATAGTCGCTTCCCATCTTGTATGTATGGAACTGGTTGTTCCTTCCTAAGTGGAGCACTTTGCATTTCTCTTTATTAAACCTCATCCTGTTTACCTCTGACCATTTCTCTAACTTGCTAAGGTCATTTTGAATTATGTCCCTCTCCTCCAAAGAAGTTGCAACCCCACCCAGTTTGGTATCATCTGCAAACTTAATAAGCGTACTCTCTATCCCAATATCTACATCATTGATGAAGATATTGAATAGTACGGGTCCCAAAACAGACCCTTGCGGAACTCCACTTGTTATCCCTTTCCAGCAGGATTTAGAACCGTTAACAACAACTCTCTGACTACGGTTATCCAGCCAATTATGCACCCACCTTATCGTGGCCCTATCTAAGTTATGCACCCACCTTATCTATGCACCCACCTTATCGTGGCCCTATCCTAGACCCGGATAGGAAACAGCTCATCTTGTCAACACGTTCGAGAAATCCAAACAGTTCCCCTTCCCGAAGGGAGGCACGGAATCAAACCCCCTACGAGTGTCCCCAGTCGGAAACGGGTTTCCGTTCTGCTTGATGGAAACGTTTCATTTTGCTTTCGATGCGTTTGCTCTCCGGAAGCGCTGTCACCGTTTGGGGCGGTTTTGTCAAGAGCTGCCCAGCCAGGTAGCCCTTTGTTGCACGTACACAAAGAGCACGCGCAAGGACTCACCCATTTCGGGAGAGCTGCTTATCTGGGTTGTTATTTATTTGTCTCGCTCTCCTGCCTTGGCACTGAGCTTCACTTTCTCAATGAAGAGCCGGTTTGAACCGATCAGCTGGATTTTTTCATGTATAAACTATAACCAGTTTTTCCCCAGGGGTATGTCTAGACTGCAGCCCTGTCGGCAGAGGGATGCAGATTAGGCAGGTCGACATAGCAAATGAGGCAGGGATTTAAATATGCCATGCCTAATTTGCATAAAAATGGCTGCTGCATTTTGCTGACTCATCAGTTTGTCGGCAAAAAGCGGCAGTCTAGAGGGGGAGCTGTCGAGAAAGAAAGCCTTTTTCGACAGATCCTGTAAACCTCCTTGCAGGAGGCATAAGGGATCTGTCGAAAAACGCTTTCGCTCTCGACAGATCCCCCTCTAGACTGCCGCTTTTTGACGACAAAGTGCCGAGTCGGCAAAACGCTGAGTCATCAAACGCAGCGGCCATTTTTATGCAAATTAGGCACCGGATATTTAAATCCCTGCCTTATTTGCAATATCGACCTGCCTAATCTGCATCCCTCTGCCGACAGGGTTGCAGTCTAGACATACCCCAGGTGTCCCTGGAGGGGAGAAATTCCTCCATTCCCCACCACCTGGTCCGGTGTCGGCGAGTTGGCGTTTTCTGATGGAAAAATCCTTTGTTGGGACATCCCCCCCAAGCCCGGCTCTAATGCTGCTGTTGTCTGCTTTGATCCCCAGGATCTGCCCCTGAACCCAGCCAGGCCGGAAGAACTGGCAGAGGGAAGTGAGGTTCCAGAGGGAGACGCAGCTGGGTCAGAAGAGCCCTCCTGTGGCAGCCTCAGAGTAATGCAACCCCCTGCCCTGTGTCGGCCCCCCAGCAGTGAATCAGAGGAGCTGGGCCTTTCCCCTCTCTGTCCCCTCGAAGACCCGGGTGCAGAGGAGGCTGACTGCCAGCCGCAGGTCCTGGCATGGAGTAACGTGCTCCGTGCAGGGCGTGAGGCATCCAGCGGGCAGCCCGCTACTGCCAAAGGGGCGTGCCCCCCGTGCAGGGCTGGGTCGGTGGGGCTGGGCCCACGCCCCTGCAGCCCAGCGGGTGGGACCACGTGGGATTCCACACTGACCCGCGACGACCGGCTGCTGATCGAGAAGATCAAGGGCTACTATGAGGCAGGCGAGGCTGCCCCAGACCCCCCAGCTCGCGAGGGTGCCCTCTCCGTCCCGGCTGGCGTGGTGCGGGAATCCGTGCTCCACCTCAGCCGCCTCCCCCAGCAGGAGGGCACCGCCATGGACAATGAGGGAGGCATGGCTGGGTGGGCCAAGGCCCGGCCTGCCCGCCAGGAGGATGCTCGGAGGAGGTGGGGCCAGGTTCTTGACCAATATGATTCCGAGCTGGGGCAGAGCGAGATCTTTGACCAAGGCACGCAACTTGGCGCCAGCCAAGAGGATGCTGGGAAGGGACAAGGCCAGTCTATCAACCCAGGCGTTCATGACACCAACCAAGAGGATGCTGGGAAGGGGCAGGGCCAGATCTTTGACCAAGGCACTCAACTTGGTACCGACCAAGAGGATGCTGGGAAGGGGCAGGGTCAATCCATCGACCATAGCACTCAACCTGGTGCCAACCCAGAGGATGCTGGGAAGGGGCAGGACGAGCCTATCAATCCAGCCTTCCAAGGCACCAGCACAGAGGATGCTGGGAAGGAGGAAGGTCAACTCATTCACCAAGATAGTGGCGCTGGCGCCAACCAGGAGGAGGAGAAGGGGAGGGGCCAGCCCGCCAGCCCTGCTGCTCCGCCCCCCGCCAGTCAGGAGCCAGAGTACAAGTCATGCGCGGAGATCCGGCAGGCCTGGCGGGAGAAAGAGCGGGGGGTCGTGGATGCCCTGGGAGCTGGTGCCCCCCGCAGGAAGTGGGGCAGCAAAGGGCGGCCCGCCGTCCGTGAGCCTGCACCGTTCCTGGAGCCCCTGCGAATCGTGGAGGAGTCGGATCTGGCCACCGTGCCCCGGCCTCCCCACAGCAATGGGGTCCCTCGTGCTGACACGGCCCCGCCTGCCGGCTACCCCCCCCCGCCGGGGCTGTATGAGGATAGCGCCCCCTGCGTGCTGGAGAACTCGGAGCGGATCCTGAGCAAGGTGCAGGCCCTGGCGCGGATGTACAGCGAGAAGATTGGCCGGGCCAAGATGCCCCGGAGGGTGCAGGACGGGCCGCGCCGCCCGGCAAACAGCAGGACGGGCGCCCTGGAAAGCGTGTGGGAGGAGATGCCAGGACCCCTCCTCCCTCGCTGTGAGTTCCAGGGCCTCTGGCTGGGTGGGTAGGGGCCCCTGCTGTGGCATGGCTGGAGCAGCTCCAGGGGTCAGAAAACCCCATCTCATGCCAGGCGGTGGGCATGGCTCTACCTCCCCCATTGCCCCTGTGCCATTCCCCACCCCCTGAGCCAGCCAGCCCACCCCCCATGGCTGGATCAAACCTGCCCCCTGGAGAGGAACGGCTCCGTGACCCATCCCCCCTCCTGAATCAGCCTGCTGGATGCCAGGGCAGTGGGCTAACAGTCCCGATCGGGGCAGGATCCAGGCACTGACTTCTTGTCCCCGTTCCCTGGCCACTGGCCTTCCCTGCCCCCTCACTCTGTGTATCTGGATGCCTGGCTTCTGTCCCTGGGTGCTTGGACTGGGGATGTCAGCGACTAGTCGAGCTTATCGCATAGTCAAGTAGCGACTCGACTAGTCTCTAAAAAGCCGATTCCCCCCGAGCACCGTCTCCGCAGGGGGCAGGGGCGTAGTGCGGGTCCGGGCGCAGGCCAGGAATTCCTGAATCCTGGCTCACGCCCTGTGCCAGACGCTGCACTTCTGCCTTTTACATTTCTTAGGAGCTGGCAGGGACTTGATCCATTTACAAAGTGGAAGCGCAGCAGGGGGATCAGGCGTGAGCCAAGAATCAGCTGTCCCAGCTCGCGCCTGGTCTCCCCTGCTGCACTTCAGCCTTTTAAATGGATTAAGAGCCTGCCGGTGGGGTTAGCTCCTGCTTAGCGACTAGTCAATGGAAATGCCGTCGATTAGTTGATGAAATGCAATTCAGCATCCGTAGCCTGGACCCCGCAGCAGGCTGAATGGTGCGCCAGAGCCACCATGCCAGCCCCGAGCTAAATAGCAGGTGGAGCGGGGTCCCTGAGCCGCCCAGAGAGATGGGAGTTCGAAGCCTGAGGAAAGCTGTGCTGGGGGGGGGACATCTGGAAGGAGCGGTGGAGGCAGCTGGAGAAGGGTTTGCAGGCCAAGAGCAGGCTTGGGGGAGTGATGGAGGGAGTGGAGAGAGGCTGGGTAGATATTTGCACTAGTGTATGTCCCTGGTCTGCTCTGTGGGTGACCCTAAGGGGTACCACACCCACCTACCTTCCCCTTGCCTCCGTAGCCTATTTCATCCTTGGATTCTAGCCAGGTGTCCCACTGGATGGGACTAGTATGCTGACGAGTGACGCCTGAGGCTGCCACTGGGACATTTCTGAGCCTCCAGAGTGGTGGGAGGGGAGAGCTGCTTCCCCTGAGCTCTGCCGACATTAACTGGTTGTTTCTCTGCCAAAGCTCCTGGCCACTCACAAGCGCCCAGTGCTGGCAAGGGAAAGTGTTGTCATTAGGGTCCAGAGTCAACACCGACCCTCTAAATGGACTAGAAAGCAGGCCCCCCTTCTCTCGCAGCAACTGAGTCTGGCTTCTGGCAGCCTCCGGTGCTTTTCTCCACACCCCAAAGGGTGGGAGATGAAACAAAAGCTTGGCCTTGGGGTCCCTGGGGTGGTGCCAGGTGAGATGGCAAGGAGCGACTCAGTCTGAGAGGCAGGTTTCCTGGTGGCCCTGGGAGATCTGTGTCCTAGTCCTTGCTCTGCCATTGGCCAGGTCAGGGCTGTGTCCAGGGCCTCAGTTTCCCTAACAGGAAGAGGGGAGAAGTGGTACTGCCCCTCCTGGGTAAAGCACTTTAAGATCTGCAGGGATTAAGCACAAGGATGGTTCTCCCTGCAGGGGCTGCTCTGAGAACGGTCAGGGTCACCAAATAACCCGGTAGCAGCAGGCTGGGTTCAGGCCAGCACCTCCTAGCGACTGTGAGGGGGCCATGTCCCATTCCAGTCCCAGCTCGCCTGCAGCCTGCCACACATCAGCTGTTCGCAGGCAGCATCTCATGGGCGCACACGGAGTCAGGTCAGCGAGGGTCCGAAGAGAGCTGGCATTTTTCTTAGGGGGGAGGCTGTTGTAACCCTTGCGGGCTGCTGCTCCCGCATGTCTAGGGAAGGCAGAACAAAGGCTTGGATTCCGCAGCATCCCCAGGCCTTGCTCCCACGACAGGCGGAGGGAACAGCTCCGGGTCAGTTTATAAGGTCAGACCCCCAGCGGGCGTGGCGGGCGCTCTCCTTGGAGTAATAGCCCCATGCAAGGGGACTCAGCCCCCTTCCTTTGACCTCTGTGGCTCCTAATGCCTGTTCACGCCGGCTGGGTGGTCTCACCCCGGGCTCTGCCCTGTTGGGTCCTGCCCCCTGGCTCTGGGGGCCCATGCGCTCAGCCCTGCAGCCGGCGAGTGACTAGTAAAAAGCCCTTGTTTGTCTGCATCACAACGGCGTGGGGCCCAGCGTGCCCCTTTCACGGGGGGAACTGAGGCACGGGGCTTGCCCCCGGTCACCCCGCCACAATACAAGGACTAGAACTGGGGTCTCCTGAAGCGAACGCTGTCGTGCTACCCACTAGGCCACACAGCTCCGGAGAGGAAAAGGGGACTTAGGCCAACCAAGAGCTGCTCTCTCCGGTGACCCCTCTGCCCGTTTCTCCCCCAGGCGAGCCCCGGATCTACGGCCATGTGCTCATCCGCGAGCCCCCCTTGCACGTGAACTGCGTCCAGGAGAACGTACCACTGGTGGCTGCCGCCCGAGACAATGCTCTGGATCTGCGCAGTGACCGGCCTCCGCCTTTGCTGGCTCCTCAGCCCCTGGCTTCGCTCTCCACAGAGGATCCGGAACCCACCGACCGGGAGCTCCCCAGCCCAGACTCCCCAGCGGCTATTCCGCCTCCCCCCCCACTGGTGGAAGTGGCAGGGGAGCGCCCCCCAAAGCTCAGCAAGGACCCCCCAACCCCAGGAGACCTGGCTGGGGCTGGTCCCAGCATGGGCCGCTCTCCCCCCCCTGCTGCCGAAGCTGCCAGTGGAACTGGCATGGTGCTTGAAGCCTTGGACTTTGAGGGGGCCCAGGGCCCCTCGGTGCCAGGCTGCCGAGCTGGGCTGGAGGGGGCAGCGGCTTGCGGGCGACAGGGCGAGATGGTCGCTGGGGAGGTTTCCGCGGATGCTGGGGCGCTCCCGGTTGCCTCCTCCAGCCCCGGGGCAGAACAGCAGCTTGCACCCTTGGGCGTGGGCGCCGGCCTGTTCGCGGAGCCCGACCTGCTGGGGGCGGGCCCCTCCATCCTGGCAGAGGAGCGGGCCCTGGGTTTGGGCAGGGATTGGCGACTGGGCACCGAGGAGCAGCTCCCCCAGCGGCTGGCAAGGCCCGTCAGCTGTGGGACAGGAGAGGGGTCCCTGCCTCCCGGCCCGGGCGCCAGTCCACTGGCAGCACCCGAGCATGGCAAGCCGCTGCCTGCTCCCTCTGTTCCTGCAGGATCCCCATCTCTGCGCCACAGCAGCTTCCTGTCCCCAGCGGCCCCTCCGTGCCGTGGTCCCCGGCTGCCTTCCCGGGCCACGAGCGTGGCACACCCATCCCCCAAGCTGCCCGTGGATGCAGCTGCCCGGGCCGGCCCCTCCGTGGCCCAGACGGCTCCCACTTCTCCGCCCAGCTCTGGCCTGGATCGTAGCCCCGTGCCGGCTCTGCTACGCCTGCAGCCCTCCCCGGCACACCGGCGCCTCTCGTCCAGTGCCGCAGCCATCTCCAGGTACCTCGCCGCCTCCTGCATCAGCCAGAGCCTGGCCAAGAGACATGGTGCCCCCCTGGAGCCCTCTGGCACCCAGCCTCTGCTGGCAGCCACCCCCGCCCCCACCAGGCCTCTGCCTCCATGCTCAGCCATCCCGAGGTTGCCTCCTGGCTCCGTAGGCTCCAGAGCCCCAGCACCCCAGTCTGCTCCATTCCCCCAAGAGGAGACCAACACCTGGGTCCATTGTAGCCGCCAGCCGGACCCTTCCCCGCTCCGCACCTGTCCCGCTGCCCGTGGTTTTCCCAGCTCACCCTCTCCCCCAGCCTTTTGCCACGAGGCCAGCTGGCCCAGGGAGCCCACAGCCATGCTGCTGGCCTTTGACCGTCTCTTGGGGACATGTCCGGCCCCCAGGGCCAAGCAGCCAGCCCCCTTCTCTGCCTCAGAGCCCAGCTCTAGGGTCCAGTCTCCAGCGCCGGCCTGCCCACGGGTGTGCTCTCCCCCTCCCTCCAGCCAGCGCCCTGCAGGAGGGGTAGCCAGCTGTGCCCCCCCACGGCCTTACTCCTTCACCCCTGTGCACATCCCAGCCCAGCCTTTCGCCCCCCGCCGCTCCTCCCCTCTGCCGCCCACCTCCCACCCCTGTGCCTCATTACCTCAGCCAGGCAGGAGGGCAAAGGAGCACCCTGAGAGCCCCCTGTCCCCTGGGGAGGGCGACAGGGTGGGGTGCTGCTCTGGAGTGCCTCCTAGTGACTCCCCCATCCTCAGCCCTGATGAACTGGAGGGCATCAAGTGGCCAGCTGTCCCCGACTTGCGATCCAGGTATGCCAGCCAGGAGGGTGGCCCGGGGGCACCGGGCTCGCCAGAGGATTGCCCCAAAGTGAGAGCGGACTTGGGTCGGGACACGGGCCCCCATCGGGCCAGCTACTCCACCACCGTCAACATCCAGATCGGGGGCAGCGGCCGGATCGCCTCCTTCAGCAACGCTCAGGTCAGCCTCACCCACCCACTGCTGGCAGGGCCCGGGCTGCACAGCGCCAGGCGGATTAACAGCAGCACCTTAGAGACCCAGCAGAAAACGTGACAGCCCGAGGGGGCGGGGCTTACAGCTCTGCGCACCTGGGGACCAATGGTAATATGGTTTATAAATTGTCACTGTCCCACAGGGGTAGGCAGGGATGGGATCGGATCCACAGCTGGGGTCTGGCCCGTTGAGGATGCTCCTGGGTGGTGTTAAGAGGCGCAGGGGGTGAATTAGGGACATCTGAACTTGAGATCTGTCTGTGCAATTAAACAAGTGTCTCTAGCCCCCCCAGGCCAGGAGGGATCTGTGGGGCTTCTGTCTGTAAAAGCCAAGCCACCCCAGCTGGCTGTGTGGGTCCCTGCCAGGTGGCTCTGGTGCCCCGGACAAAGCACACTCCGCCCTGCCAGGCCCTTTATGAGGCAGGCTGCTTTCCGCTCTGCCTTTTGGTGGTTTTCACTGCCTGGCTCCTTCCTCAGCTGGTTGGGCCTCAGTGGGGCCCAAAGTGAACAGCATGGGTGATTGTAAAGAGGATCAGGCACATGTGTTCCTACCCCTGGCCAGCAAGGCGCAATGCATATACTCACGTCTTTCCCACCCTCAGCCAGCAGGGGGCAGTGTATATACTCGTCCTTCCCACCCTCAGCCAGTAGGGGGCAGTGTATATACTCGTCCTTCCCACCCTCAGCCAGTAGGGGGCAGTGTATATACTCGTCCTTCCCACCCTCAGCCAGTAGGGGGCAGTGTATATACTCGTCCTTCCCACCCTCAGCCAGTAGGGGGCAGTGTATATACTCGTCCTTCCCACCCTCAGCCAGTAGGGGGCAGTGTATATACTCGTCCTTCCCACCCTCAGCCAGTAGGGGGCAGTGTATATACTCGTCCTTCCCACCCTCAGCCAGTAGGGGGCAGTGTATATACTCGTCCTTCCCACCCTCAGCCAGTAGGGGGCAGTGTATATACTCGTCCTTCCCACCCTCAGCCAGTAGGGGGCAGTGTATATACTCGTCCTTCCCACCCTCAGCCAGTAGGGGGCAGTGTATATACTCGTCCTTCCCACCCTCAGCCAGTAGGGGGCAGTGTATATACTCGTCCTTCCCACCCTCAGCCAGTAGGGGGCAGTGTATATACTCGTCCTTCCCACCCTCAGCCAGTAGGGGGCAGTGTATATACTCGTCCTTCCCACCCTCAGCCAGTAGGGGGCAGTGTATATACTCGTCCTTCCCACCCTCAGCCAGTAGGGGGCAGTGTATATACTCGTCCTTCCCACCCTCAGCCAGTAGGGGGCAGTGTATATACTCGTCCTTCCCACCCTCAGCCAGTAGGGGGCAGTGTATATACTCGTCCTTCCCACCCTCAGCCAGTAGGGGGCAGTGTATATACTCGTCCTTCCCACCCTCAGCCAGCAGGGGGCAGCGGTTGTGGGGTTGTTTCCAATCAAAAGACACACACAAGCCTAGTCAGCAGGGGGTCGTGTGGATACGTGCACACCCTTAAGCATGCCTGGGACTGTAGAGACATGCACATGTTAGCCAGCAGGGGGATGTCATGTGTCTAACTAGCAGGGAACAGTATGGACACAGCCAGAGGGGGGTGGGGGGAAGGCAGTATGGGTACACAGAGCCAGTGAGGGAGAAGGGCTTGTATGGGCATACAGAGCCAGTGGAGATGCACAGAGCAGGTATACGCATGCCCAACCTGCAGGGGGCAGTGTGGACAGAGCCAGGCGGGCAATATGGACACACACAGCTGGCAGGATGTGTGTGGAGATGCACAGAGCATGTACATGCATGCCCAGCCAGCAGGGGGCAGTGTGAACATGCACACCCATTTTCCTGCTCCTTTCAAGCGTGAAACCCAAAGTCCTTGCACCAGCCAGTCTCCCTGAAGCTGCCCAGCAGAGCAAGGGCTGCAGGAGCGGGGGAGTCTTTCTCCCAGTGCTGTCCAGCCACCCCTGCTGTGTGTCCCAGTGAAGCAGGATGGGGTCCAACTCGGAGGGCTAGACCTCTTAAAACCATTGTGACTTATGTGGTGCTAGATCTGTTGGCCAAGGGTTGGATTCCTACTTCTGCTACAAACTCCGCGTGTGATTGGTCACGTAAATTAAGCTGCCTCGTGCCTCAGTTTCCCCCATGGGGAGAATAATTGTTTCAGTTGTGGGCTCTGGAGCAGGGGTGTTGTTTACTTGGTGCGTACCTCTGTCCAGGTACTACTGTAATTCACCTAATATAGACTGCTCTGCTGAGCTGGATCCGGTGCAGTTTAGTCCCCACAACCTAAAATGTGTAGGAAGTGGAAGTTGCTTTTGCTAGGAGGAAAACACAGGGGTGTCCTCAGCCCAGTCCTGAGAGTTGGTCCCAGGGTTGCACAGAGTGGTGAGCGCATGTGTCGAGTGTGCTGGAATTGGGGCAGGCAAATTCATCTCTGCAAGGTCTAAGCACAGCTTACGCTGAGACCAATGGCAGTGGGCCAGTTGGGTATACAGGGGGTCCTCACTATAAGTCCAAGATACGTTCTAAAAAACTTGGACTTATAGCGAAACAACTTAAAGCTGGGAATTTTTTTCCCATGGCCAACTTCCATTTAAGCAAATTGAGGGGAGTGTTTCGCACGACTTATAGCAGGGAATGGGAGGACTTATAACGCATCAGTTCCTACACATGTCAATGACTTTCGTGTGGAACGGATGTATACTGGGGCGACTTATAGTGGGGACTCCCTGTAACTTTTAAAAGCATTGGTATCAGACCCACATTGAAATCACTGGCGTAATGCCTGTTTGAACCAGCTGGGAATTGACACCAGAGGAGTGATACCCCTGATCTCCAGCTTTTAGTTTCTAGAGTGGCAAATGGTCTAAATTGCTCCAGAACTCTCTCTTACCCCTTCCTACAGCCATAAAACCTCTTACTCAAAACCACCAGCTTCTTCCCTGCTTTCCCTGGAGCTGTGTTGCTGTGACATTCCAGATGATCTCTGACAAATTCAAACAAGTTTGCTTAAGTATTGCACTTCTAGGGTCAAATCCTTCCAATCCTGGGTTGAGATTTGGAGTAAACTACTTGGAACGTTTGTGTCCTTGCTTGTTTTCCTTGAACAGAACATGGGGAAATCAGGGGGGTGGGGGGATGCAATCCCCTAAAAGGGGAACGCAGGAACGAGCTGGCTCTAAAGTGAGACTAATGAAATAAAGATTGGCTCTGTAGAAAGTGGTACAGCTATTTCTGGTTTCTTTGCAATGAGTTTTTCTGCTTCATTTCTAAAGCTGGATTGCATAAGGAGATTTTAAATTGAAGCAGCGGGTAGTTAGAGAGACTCTGGTATTTAATAGCCAATCTTGCAGATGGAACCATTTAGCTCCATGTTTCTACAAATTATTTCACAGTCCACCATTGGAAAAACTGAAGGTTTTTAGCGTTACCGCCGGCATGTTCTCGTCCATCGGAGATTCACCATTTTCTCCTCTGACTGCTGGGAGCCATGCTAGCTTTGGACTGCCTGTCCAAGATGTCATGGCCAATTTTGAGAGAGGCCTCCCATCTTGATGTAAAGATTCTGAGAGAGAGAATCTAACTGGTCTCTTGGGGAACTTTTCTCAAGTCTAGTCCCTTCCCCCACCAGACTGCCCCTCTCTCTTTCCAGTCGGAATGTGTCTCACTTCGACTCCCTGCTGCTAGGCCTTATCCTGCCTTTGCTCCGTTACAAAGCCCTCTGCTAGCAGGTAGGTTCAATTGCCCTTTGTGACCCAGGTGGCTAGTCAAAGCTGGAGTCCTGCTTCCAGCTGGGAGGAGAAATTGAGAATAGAGCCAGGCACCTTTGATGTGATTTTGTTTATCTGTAGTGGCTTGTCAGGGCTGTTCCCCACTCTGGCACTCTGAGGCTATGTCTACACTGCGCCTGTTTGTTGCAAGAAATATGCAAACGAGGCTAAGTGTAGAACAGTGCTGAGCCTAATTTGCATAATTAACAAGGCTCCATTTTTGCACAAGAGGCTTTTGCGCAAAAAGAAGCCATCTACGCAGCTCCTTTTTGCGCAAAACTCCCCTCTTGCATGAGAGCTGTTCTTCCTGAAAAAATGAGGAAGAACGGCTTTTGCACAAGAGGGGGTTTTTGCACAAAAGCCTCTTGTGCAAAAATGGAGCCTTGTTAATTATGCAAATTAGGCTCAGCACTGTTCTACACTTAGCCTCGTTTGCATATTTCTTGCAACAAACAGGCGCAGTGTAGACATAACCTGAGTGCAGAATGTGGGGGCCCACAAAGACTTGAAATATACCTTGCCGCTACAGGCATTGGTTACTAAAACCTCCCCTAGAATCACAATACACAGATTTGAGGGGAGGGAGGAATGGCTGCCATCATCAAGTGATTGTTATTTCTAAAACCAAGGGCAAACACTTGAACCCACCCCCAGGGTACCTCAAGCTCTGCTGCCACAGAAGAGCTTGGGGGGGGGGGGGGGAGAAGAGGAAAACAAGCTGCAGTCTCTAGTAGCCGACCATTCAGTCTGAGGCAAGCAGACACACACAGACAGATCTCTCGTACCTTCCCAGACACGAGTCAAATCACCTTAAAAAATGAATTTTATTACAAAACAAAAGACAAACTTGATACAGCATACTGAGTTGCTAGATGTTATAGAGCAACTAAGAAAAACAAAACAGAAAAATCTCTGGGAACAATGCTTAGATGGTAAATGGGGAGGCATAGATTCATACAGAGCAGTTCAAACCACACCACAAAATAAAGAAAATACCCTGATTGTGGCTAAATTCACTTTTTCCCTTTACTTACTCCCAATCTTTTCTTGGTTCAGTCCACTTCAATGCCCCAAATTCCCTGGAGGCATGGTAGTCCTGCCTGGGTTTGAATCATTCTGTATCTCTCCCACAAAGAAAGCGGGCAAGGAATCTATATCCATTTCCAATTTCAACACTCTATCTCAATTGGCTCTTCCGGCCCCAGACAACACCCTTGCTAGCTACCTTAGTCACCGGGGGCTGGTCAGTGCTCTTCTTGTCCATTACAGGGCTTACAAGGTTCTTTTGTCCTGAACACAGGTGGACCCAAAAAGCAGGAGATCACTTCCTTACCTGTGGCAGCACACATCCTGTAT